TACCTTTTTTTAATTTAAAATTCAACAATTAAAGTTTATATAATAGTTCAATATGTACCAATGGATTGGCGGAACATACAAACTGTGTTTTATGTACATCTGTAGTATTTTTAAAATTTGTAAATTAATCCACAAAATGTATATCTACTTATCTCGATTCAAGAAAACTACAAATCGGTTGAAATGTGCACAAGGATAAATAGGCTGGCAAATACACGTGCTTATATACACGTTTACGCTCTTATAAGTACACATATGTGGGGAGACGCACACGCTGGTTTCCTTCACGCCATGGTTCGTTTCACACAATTCTTGCCACACATACATGAGCGTCAAGGGAAAAAATCCCACAAAAGTATACATTTTTTATGTGAAGAATTTACAGAACTGGTAGAAAAAAAATGTACTTGGAAAAAAAAAAAAAAAAACTTACATTTTGAGGAAGCGACAAATGAATGAGCGAAAGAAAAATTCGATTTCAACCCTCCATTTCCAGAAATATTACAAGTGTAAACAGTTTTTGACATTGCGGTAACGATTTGGTAATTCTGAGGACATTCCAAATGAGAGATTTTTCATTCTTTTGTATTTTTTTTTACGCACACCCCTATAATATGTCGCTTGAAATTCCTTGACTCCGTGGGTGTGGAACAGAATGAACATTACAAATCTTTACCCCCTTTTAGGCTTCCGTTCATTTTTCATTTAAAAAAGGGGAAATTCTTTAAGAAAAGAGCATAATATATATACATATTTATTTAACATATTCTGGGGTTATCCCCCATTTTTAGAACCACTCCGAAAAAGTGTACCATAGAAAGGATACAATTGTCACATTAGGTGCCAGTCCCAGGAGAATGTTAAGGGAAGAAGCACACGAGCATTTTAAACACAAATACCCACTACTCATGGGTAAAATCTGGACTTTACCAGAAGGATATGTTCGAATATTTCGATATGGCCTGGACGAATTAAAACATGATGACTTCTTTCGAAAGGAATTCAACCCATTCATAACTGATTGTTCATTTGCGAAACAATTGGAAGCTTCAGAGCAGGTGGGCAATAAAGAAGCATTCGATAGCTTTGATTGTCTAAGCAATTATTACGACTCATTCTATGCGTCAAAGGATGATTATGATGAGCCCTCTAGAAAAGCGCTGGATGATTCAGAACGTAATGAGAGTATCGAATCAGAAGATGGGGCGAGAAGGCAAAAGTATATCAACCCACTGGGACATCCTTCTTAAGGAGGAAAAAAAAGTGCGTCAATAATGCCTAAATTTTTAAAAAAACTCGATGACCACTTTGAACTTAAAATGTATCACTTTCTAAAAGGTATGCGGGATACTAATCCGTATTTTATGAGGGATCAGGGTAAATTTAAGAAATTCGCACATTCTATGAAAAGATAAAAGTTATTTCTCCTTCTATTCGCAATTCCGTTAGCTTGTTTTGCATTAAAAGTTACCTACACAATTGCAAAAAGCACTCTATCCATTGTGTACTCATTATTCGCTTCTTACTGGTCTGTATTCCTTGCGGGAGTAATCGCAGTAATTGCATTATACTATCTGTAAAAAATACTAAAAATATACTATAAAGGTCACATTTTGAGAAAATTCAACAATTCTATTATTGGAAGACAAAATTTACATCCCAAAAGGGACGTTCCCATAAGTCTTTAAGATAAGATCCCTAAAAGGCTCTATGCAATCCATTCCATTATCTTCACAGAAGATTATATTTTGCCCCAAATGCCTACGTATATACCATTCTGTTTTTCTGGTGACTAACTTTTTGTTTCCCTTCTTGTGATAAATGCTTACACGTAATTTTTTTCTCTTTTTTTTTTCTTTTGGAAATGAATAAAATTACACCATCTTGCTACATTCCGAGGCCATCCATGAAAGGGTGTTTTATGCAAAAGAAAAAAAGAAAATGCTCCTTTGATTCTGTGTACACTTTTTAAAGAGTATCATTCATTATTAAACCATCTTTGATATTGCTCCCATTGGATAAGTGTGTAGGTATGGACTTTAATGGCGGCATTCTTTAGCGCAAAAATGTGTGTCCATGATGCAGACAACTTCGTCGTTTTATGATTGTAAGCCCCTCTGGTCGCAGCCTGGGTTGGGCAATTTCGGCACCTTACCATTTTTACGTAACACTCCACAATACATGCTTAAGATTCCTAAAAGGCATGTCGACTTGCGCTTTGAAATGAGTGTATTACCTGCCATGAGACAGTGCCTTAAAACGAAGGCTATACTCTTTTTTTTCCTGTCCACATCAAAGCATTTATTTCATGGAAATATGCACGCCATCCATTTATGCTTTAGAGCCACATTGATCCTTCTGCGTCTACGTGTTCAACACGTGTGCATATGACAAGATATACATTTTAATAAACTACAAAGGCAACAGTTCCATTTTATATCTGAGTACCATTCTTATTTACAAAAGTTATAGCATTAAAATAAATGTTCTTCTATTTTTTCCTGAGTCATTAAAGAATACGTACAGTTTAAATGAATTTATCTTCGTAAACTACAGATAAATGTGTGTTAACAAATGACATTATCATACCATATGATACGTAATCACATGGAACATACGTATTCTTTGTTAGGAAAGGAAGAAAAAAAAAAAGAAAAAAAAGGAAGTGAAATAAACAGAAGCATTACTTTAATAATATAAAATTTCACCGTAGCAAAAATAGAAGGACAGGAAGTGCCTTTTATTAAATACATATATAGACATATATATGCAGCATGTTAGTATATTTACTTTTAAAAAAAAGAGAAACTTGCTGACCCCTCCTTCTTCTTTGTTATATGCCTATTATGCAGGTGAAAAATAAGAAACATCCATCTGACAGATCTATACCACATACTCATGTATAAAACTTATTAATTTTTTCTTAACATTCCGGGGTGCTTATCTTCTCAAAATCTATGTGGATTGAAGCGTATGCCTAATACAATCATATGAATCCAAATACTACTGCCAGGTATATTATTTACGTTCACACATCTTGTTAACCATTGATCCCTCTAACTTTCTGCGCTGAACGGCGTGTTTGTTTACTGTGTTACTACGTGCAGCTTCCTCATCATGTAATTATTTGGTCCTACCCTGTTTTGATTTCTCTTAAGGTGTAAATCAATTTGCTTCGTCGACCTAACGCTCTTAGCATATTTTCTTTACAACATTCTATACTTCATTGATCCAATATGAACATGCGCAAATGCATAGAACGGGGGGCTCAGGTAACATTTCCCTACTGCGTCCTGAAACGAATGTCCTTTATGTACCGTCGGAACATATCAATATACCCCCCTCTAACAGAATAATCTTTCCTACATTTTACATTCTGGTTCCTCTGTACTAACACAATAATTCCACAGATGCACAAGAACAGAAGAGAGAATGTACTCAGAAATTATAATACAAATGGTTGCTCTGTCTTCCCATTGAAAAATGTGCTGAGGAGCACAATTCTTCGCACGCCCTTCACACCCTACATCTCCTAACATCCTCATATTCAGCCCTTCGGCGTCACTTCAAAATACATCAATTCAGATAATACGTTATTTTATTACTTGGGTTGATTGAGTAACACTTCCCCCATCCCTCTGTTGATGGAAAAGAAAAAAAAAAAAAGGACAGCTCGGAATTCTCATATTCTACACATATGTCTGAATATGTTACCATGACAAACAGTCGTAAAAGTATCGAAGGATATAAATCTTCTTACAAAAAAAAAAATTTGAAACTCCGAATTTCCTTTCACACATCTTCTGGATGATTCTCTCACCCGGCCCGGAGGAAGGGCGAGATTCGCAACCTACTCGCATTAGCCTTTTCTATATGTTAAATTTCACCCAAAGGCCATTCATCTCTAAATTTGCAACATTAATGCTGAAGCAAAGAATTTAAAAAAAATTATTCTGATTCTTATGAATGTTTATTTTTAGAGGACTTGGAACTCCTGTGAGCATCTGGGGCTGAGGCATATAATACGATACCTTTCGAATTAAGTTCCTAGTGGTTCAGACTCGATTAGGTCCTCCCTTTTATCCCACTCTTCTTTAACTATACTTAAAAACCATATAAAATCATGGTTAGCCCAATGAAGGTATTCATTTGAAATAAGCTCTTTTGCTTCTAAGGGATAGTTATCATTTTCAATAACTTCGTTCAAGCTGCTAACTAAGTATTGTAAATATCTGTACCATCTTTCATTCCACATCTGGCATCTCCATTCCCCATCTATAATATTACTTCGTTCTGTGAAATCGATGTAATCTTCTACCATATTCATAAATGTTTCATTCCACGTATCGGTTATTTTATCAACTAGTTCGTGCAGCTGTTCTTGGTACAGATCTTCGTCTTCTTGTATAATTTCAATATTTAATGTGGTGCCTAACGCAGAAACGTCGGTCATACCTTCCATCACGTTGGTTTCTACTTTACCCCCTGAACCGGAATATTGTTGGAATATATTTGAATTATCTGATCTTAAAATTCTTCCTAATGATCCGACGCTTTGGGTGGGGTACGCATTTCTCCCATGGTTCGAATAGTCAGCAGGATTTCTACGGGGAAAAAAAATCAAAGCGTATTTAAGAGACTGAAAAGCATTTACTCCTACTATGTTTAGGAAGGATGGGTCTAAAAGAAGAATCGGCAACAGCGCAAATCTGAAATGCTACTTACACATGTATATATATATATACAATTTCTTATATATATTTGTATCTATATATCTATTCATGCATACGCACATATACAGAACCGTGTATACATATATATGTGCAACACAAATGAATAAAAAAAAAGTCGGCTCGTAAATTTTACTTCATATCGTGCGGGGCATGGGATTGCCGCAACACAAACGCCAGAGCGACAGTGCTAAATAAAACAGCTAACACATCTGCTTTCATATTTCTACAGTTTGACTTATTAGTGTTGTTCGTTTTGGAAGTTGAAGTATATTCCTTTCTTAATTTAAAAACTATATTGGCCGGTAGCTTGATGATCCTGTATGATTATTCAAGACATAACATTAGCTTCCTAATAGCATATAGAGATATATAAATCTAAAATATGAAATAACTCTTGACTTCAGTTATTTTCTTATGCTAAAAGGCATGTGAAAAATATAATGTCAGAAGAAAAAAAATATCCTGTATATATATTATATACACACCAACATCTATAATTTTAAAATTAATGCATAAAATTTAAAAAAAAAAAGAAGAAAAAAAGTATTATGAATCAAATATTTCTCTAAATAAATATTAAAACTGAAATGTTATTCTGATTTGAGAATTTTAAAATGAGGACTATCTATAGATTCCTAAAATTCTGATAAAAACATAGATCGCTTTCCGTTGAGTTTTGCTTAACTATGACGAAATCTATGGATTGAGCCCTAAAGTAAATATGTCAGTTATAAGCTATTTATTCTGATTATTTTACGATATAAAATTAATCATTTTATAATATTTATGATTTCAAATATTTTATTTTTTTATAATATTAT